GCTCTCTGCACATTTTCAAGTTTTTGGTCCATTTTTAGTGTAGTCCAAGTTTACTTATTTTCAATCTTTTAACATTTTAACTACACACTTAAATGAACCAACTAGTCACTCAAATGTGTTTTGTAATCATCAAAATCATAGGTACAACAATCGGGGTGCAGTTCGTCCCATAAAAGTTCGAGCTCGACATTGAGGCCCCATGCCTCGTAAAGAGTTAAAATTGCCCCCTCGAGCTCAAGAAGGCGTGTTCGCAACGATTTAGACGCTGTCCGGTGAAGAACGATCTCAGGGGCTCAGGTCGTTCAGTCTACTGCAGTTCACTCTTTTAACGTGCCACTTACATCGACACTTGATGTTGTTGAGGCCTTGCCTGCATCTGCATCTATAGTGGGCCCTAGAATTGCATACCCTGAAGGCTTTAGTTATCTCAAAGCTGATTGTCAGGCTGCCATGGTGCAGGGTATGTAAAGTTTTGTTCCCCCTACAGATCGACAGCGTGCGAAGGGGTGCATTTAGCAGCATGGGGGCATGCCACTATGCTAAAGTTGATGGACGTAAGTATTGTCATTAAGCATTAGTATTATTATACTTTTTTAATTTTGTGTTAGAAATTAACAATTGAATTTATGTGGCAGGCATTCAGTTACGTGGTTGCACTCTTTGAGTGCGAGTAAGGGCACACGGGCAAAACCACGAGCTTTAGGAGAGCTGCAAACAGCTGACCTCAGAGAAAGCAAGCTTGGAGCACAAGGTCAGTCGTTTGCAAAGCTCTAAGATGGCGAATAGAGTTGCGTCAGTTGAGAGCCGAGCTGACGGGTTGGCCCACAAAGTCAACGAGCTGAAAGAGGAGCTAGAGAAGGCTTAGCCTGAGAGGGATAGCGGTATCCAAGTCGCTAAGGATGAGGCCGGTCGTGTTGAAGACCGTGCTAGGAGAGTAAAGGTTGATAGGGATAAGGCTTTGTCTGAGCTGAAATCCCTAAAGGAGAGGGTGGCTCAAGCCAACCAGAATCTGACTCGAGCTAAGGCATCGCTTGAGAGTGTCAAGAAGTCTCACTAGCGCTTTGCATGCATTGCACAAGCACAAGGGGCAGAATGGTTTGTTGGCGTTGATATGTTTCAAGACACCGTGGCCATCGCCTCAGCAAATACCACCACGGAGA